ATGTTGAAACTCCATTTCTACTAAAAATACAAAAATTAGCTGGGCATGGTGGTGGGTGCCTGTAATCCCAGCTACTGGGGAGGCTGAGGCGGGAGAATCACTTAAACCTGGGAGGCAGAGGTTGCAGTGAGCCAAGACCATGCCACTGCATTCCAACCTGGGTGACGACAGGCCAAGGCTTTGGAAAAAAAGAAAAGGGAGGGGAGGGGAGGGGAGGGAAGAAAAAAGAAAGAGAAGTAGTTGGTTAATGGGTACAAACAGAAGTAAGACCTAGTGTTTGAAAAATCAAAGGGTGACTCCAGTCAACAATATTCTATTACACATTTCAAAACAGCTAGAAGAGAATAATTTAAATGGCATAAAGAAAAGAGAAATATTTAAGGCGATACATATCCCAATTACCCTGATTTGATTTTTACACATAACATAAATGTATCAAATTATCATGTGTCCCAAAACTACATACATTATTTATCAATTAACAAAAAAAAAATCAGATAGTTCTACGATTAAAAAGAAAAGGAAAAAGGTCACTGTGAAGAATAAATGGCTGCTTCATATCAGATGGATCTCAGTTCATGTGCTGATATGTGTTCCATGTTCAACCAATCCAAATGCCACTCCCCTCTAATTCAGCACAACACTGTTTTACTTCTTCACGGGACACACAACTAACTCTCTGAAATTCCAATTTGCTGACTTATTTATGGCCTGCTCCTCCTAACAGCAGGCATTTTATCTGTCTTATTCACCACTTTACCCTGTGCACCTAGGCTATGTGGCACATGGCACCTTAATAAGTATCTGTAGAAGGAATAATAATCACTGATACTTACTGAGCACATGCTCTATACAAGGATTTATCACTTTAAATGTATTAACTCGTGATTTAATAAATGATGAACCTGATGTTTAGCACTTTCTCACACACAATTAGTACTCAATAAATGGTAGCTATTTATACCAATTCAAATTATATGATGATGTTAGCAAACACTCAACAGGAAAGAGTAAAGGGAGCTGAGTCCCAGGAATGCAGAACTCAATTTCAGTTCTCAAGAGCTGATTTTTTTATTTTATTTTATTTTTTTAGAGACAGGATCTGGCTCTGTTGATCAGCCCAGAGTATGGTACCAAAATCATAGCCCACTGTTAACTTCAAACTTCTGAGCTTAAACGGTCCTCCTACTTCAGCCTCCCAGACAGCTAGGACTACAGGCACATGGCACCACACCCAGCTATTATTTTTATTTTTATTTCAGTACAGACAGGGTCTTGCTATGTTGCCCAGGCTGGTCTCAAACTCCTGGGCTCAAGCAATCTTTCTGCCTCAGTCTCTCAAAGCGCTGGGATTACAGGTATGAGCACTGTGCCCATCCCTGATTCTTAAGGTCTAATTTTTTCTGGACTCCCCCACTTGAAGTACTCACTACCTTCAGAAAGGAGAGAGAGGAGGGGATTGTCTTACTATTCCAATTATTCCTTAACTTATGAGTTTCTCAGATATTGTGATACACACACAGCTTCTCAGCCAGCAGTACACGATTCTATCTCTCCTCACTTCACAAGCTAATTTTCACCTTAAACATAGCAAAAGCCAGAATATGAAGCTAAAATAGGGAGACGTTCAACCTGTCATGTCTCTTTTTGACCTGCACTCAGGCCCTTAGAAAAAATTCACATGAACAGAAATCACTTCTGCCCATCCTTTTAGCCAGGGTGTTATGTCCAAGGGTTTACTGAAGTCATAGCCACACACAGCACTCTAGGAAGACCCAAGGGCTCATCAATCAGGAGCACTCCATGAATGAAAAGCCTCAGGCTGCTGGTCTGAACTGCATCTTCCCTACCTCGACAAATAAAGCATCATATTTAGGTGTCTAGAGATGCAGGAGCAACAGCCAGCAGCTTTTTTGAATACTGCATACTGCTTGCTTTAAATAGAAATTCAATTGCTTAAAACACAAGGAATCATGGCCAGTGTTACACCTCTTGAGATACCACTCTTCGCCTGATGACAGAGTTACTTTTCACGGGGAGGGCTGAAGCACATACCTTATCAAAGAGAGTAAGAGATACAGACAATAAAGGTCTTCCATTTCTTTAGCACCACCAGAGACAATGAACTTTGTTTCGTATGACAGTGAGAAAGGCCAACAGCTAAAGTCCGTAAAAGGGGCCCCCAAAGCCAGAGGTACTTGCTGAGAAAGCAAAGAGCAGATTCCACCTCCGCAGGCTGGCAGGCCCACACATTCTGCTTAACCATGTGAAACAGCCAGCTCTGACTCTGCCCGCCCCCAGGCCCAGTTATGATATTTGGGGTAGAGAGAGAATAGCAACACCAGTGACTTTTCTAGGAGGCTGTTTTATAAAAACAGAGCTTCCAATTTTAGGCCTAAAATTGAAAAGAAAAATAGCCAGAATTAGAAGCTTGTTTTAACACAATATATTGAAAATTACAAGTTTAAACACTGGTAGCTGGGGACGGGGTATCACACCACCACATGACTTCTCAGTGAGTCATAAAAAATAGCGCAGGCTTGTTTAACAGTGATCGTCCACCAGCCAACAGAATTAAGAAGTCTGCTTGTGTCAAATGATGGAAAATCAAACCGACACCCCTCCTGTGTTTGTTTCAGCAGTGGCAGGACTGACACAAATGAACTGCAGCAGCAACCTATAAGACAGAAACATTGATAAACCTTTGTTGAAGCTAGTCAAAGAGGAAATGCTTGAAACCCTGAAGATGACTCATTTTTCAGAAGTTACATCAGTTTAACAGGATAAATAAAAACCGTTCAACAATTAATAAATCACTAACTGAAATACTTCTGGATTTCTAACACCCAATCTTGATTAGTATACCTTTGTGTCAAAGCAAAAGCCAAATACAAGCATTTAACAAGTTACTACCCTTTCAGTTAGGAGAATCGCTCTGGTGGAACTAGATGAGAACAAAAATTAATCTTCAGGCCTAGATGGATATTGTCATGATAATAAGATAATAAAGACCTCCCTAAAGGACTTCTGGGTATCATAAATTATATAACAAATCTACTTCTGCCAGGGAGCCAGGATTAACTCCTATTCACCCTGGTTACAACTCACTATTGCCAATGGGCTTACTGAAGTGGAAGTATCATTATCTACCACTGCTCAGCTAAAGGCACAGTCATCTTTCTCACTGCAAATGAGTTTGCTGACACCAACTACTCACTGTAAGAGAAGTCAACCTAATCATCTTAAAAACAACTTCGATGCTTGTTTTTCCAGGCCAAAAACATATTTTAAGAACCAGAAAAGAAAATGCTTCATAATTTCTCCCTCCCAGTAAGTCCTTCTCACTGAATTTTTTAAGTGCCTAAGATGACATTTTATTAAGATACTTTACTATGTCTATTGTGCATCCAAGGCTTAAATGCATTATACATTATTTATTCCCTTGGGACAAAAACATTCATGCCTCCGAAGCAAAAGTACACAGAAGAGAAAGGCTGTTGTTTTAGTGACAGCATCTCAGACTGCAAGCTCCAAGAAGACAGGGAAAGTGTATGGTGACACAAAAAGGGCCAACTTGGCATGATGTAGAGGCCAACACCTGCAGTCCCAGCACTGTGGAGACCAAGGCAGGATTGCTTCAGCCCAGTAGTTCAAGACCAGCTTGGGCAACATAGGGAGATCCAGTCTCTACAAAAACACAAATAAAAAAATTAGCCAGCCTTGGTGGTGCGTGTCTGTGATTCTAGCTACTTGGGAGACTGAAGTGGGAGGATCCCATGGGCCCAGGGGGCTTAGACTGCAGTGAGCAGTGATCATGCCACTGTACTCCAGCCTGGGTGACAGTAAGAACCTATCTCAAAAAAAAGAAAAAGAAAATGACTAACTGGCATCTGAGATACTTTCAAAAGAATCAAATGAAAAATAAGCGCCTACTATGTCCCTAGTGCACTGCACCAATCTACCTAAATGGAGAGTACTACCACTTTTACATAATAATGCCCACAAATAGTTACCTAAGGTTTACTACGTACCCGGCATCATTCTGAAAACATTTTTACACATACCAACTAATAAAACAATCCAACACTCCTGTAATAATACCCTAGGAGGTAGGATATTATTATACCTTACCTCCTAGGGTATTATTACAGGAGTGTTGGATTGGTAGCAGTAAAGCCAAAATTCAAATTCTTAAATTAATAATGCTTTTCAAAACTATTTTTTTTTAAGTCTGGAGCTTTAAATTGCTTCTTTCAAAACAGCGCACTGTGAAAGAGTGTTTTTTTTTTTTTGTTTGCTTTGCTGTACATAAATCTTTGAGTTACTGAGAAATCAAACTTTAACTACAACCTTTAGTGAGAAATATTTTATATCCTTACCGAATGCACACATATAAATCCATGTACAACTCAAAGAAAACTTCCATAAATATTTACCCTTTTAAATATGTACCCAAGCCCGGGCAACACAGTGGTACTCCATCTCTACAAAAATTTTTTTTAAAGTAGGGTGTGGTAATGCACACCTCTAGTCCCAGCTACTCAGGAGGCTGAGGGGAGAGAATAACTTGAGCCCAGGAGTTTGAGGTTACAGTGAGCGATCAGTATGCCCCTGCATTCCAGCCTGGGTGACGACGGAGCAAGACCCTGTCTCAAAAATAGATAAATAAATAAATAAACTACCCAATATTTACCCTTACTTCTATGATGCACTGATTTGCATTATTTTCTTTCTTTTTTTTTTTTTTTTTTAATTGTTGGTTATAACCCACCAATGAAATATGACCCACTGCTTGGAAATCTCAACCAGGCCTGATGAAGGTTCCCTCCAATATCTGCCTGACACAACGTTAGGCATTTACAGTCATGATAGCATTTACTCTCCACAGCTTCTCTCGGAGGCTCCTATTGCTATCCCTATTTTACAGATGAGGAAATAAACTCAGAAATAAAGCAGCTTATGCAAGCCCCTACTCTGTGACAGAGACAGAGGAAACTCACCAAACATTTCATCTGCTCCCCTAATTTCCAAGCACCCTTTCAGTTAAGTGGCGAAATGTGTTTACTTCTGACCATTGACCTGTGGGCAGAAATGACACAATGAGCTGTAGGCAGATGGGATACTTGTGTCTCCAGGCACAAGTAGAGTTGGCACATGACATCCGAGACAACTTTTCCTCCGCCATGATGAACCAAGACAGTGACCAATAAAGTACAGATGTATAGTTACAAGACAGTAGAACCTACATCAACCTGGGTCTCTGAGTGACTATATGGAACAGAGCGCTATTCCACCTATTGACCTATGTGGGACATACAAACGATAAAGTTTCATCAGATTAAGCCAAAATTTTCAAGTTCTAACTCTTGAATATCTACCTCTTCTCAGTACTCTACAGTGACTGACTGAGCTTGGCCCCCTATCACCTATATTGCAAGACCCTCACAAATGGTTTTATCTATTTCAAGGATTGTTCCCTCCAATCTCTCTTCCACACTGCCACTGGAGTGACCTTTCTAACACATACACACATACAATATGTGAGCATGCCATGTCTCTACTCAAAATAATTTCATACTTCTCCTTCACCTACAGAATAAAACCCAAACTTAATAAGGCATACATCTGGATTTGGCCTCATCCATTGTCAATACTCTCCCTCTCTCATTCTGGGTACCTTGGGCATACTGAAACATCTGCCATTCCACAAGATGTCATGGCCTCTCCTGCCTCTGTGGTCTTACACACACTGTTACCACTGCTCAGATTCCCTCCCCATTCCTTTCTCTAGTCTTGCTCTTTCCTGCCTTGTGCTCAGATTTGACCTCCCACAGGACTCCTGACTGACTGAGAGCCTCTCTGCCTCTCAGCACCTTCATTTATAGCACTGCTATTTTTATAGCACTGGTTTTACAACATTTTCTAATTGTTGCTGTCTGATGTTCCAACCAGACGATAAGGTCCTTAAGAGCAAGATCTATAACAGGCACTAAAATTTGTTGGAATAAGTAGCTGGTAGCATATAAACACATTTCTTCTTTTTGAAACCCATCTATCCAATCCTAGAGTGTCTTTCAGAAAAATTCAGACTACATACACTTCTTCACTTTGAATACAACCATGAAAGCATTACATTTTGGAAGCCAAAATTTTTTAGCTTACAAAACTGGTTTTTAGTTTCAGAAGTACCCTATGAATGAGCCACATTCTGTCTGAGAAAGCCAGTCTTTTGCTCATATATTTCTAACTTGAAAATTACAAAGTCTGTTCTTCTTAGAGAGAAAATATCTTGTACAGGTTGAGTATCCCTTATCCCAAGTGCTTGGGACCAGAAGTGTTCTTTCTGGATTTTGAATTTCAGATTTTGGGATATTAACAGTAGAAACTTACCAGTAGAGCACCCAAATACAAAAATCTGAAATCTGAAATTCTTCAATGAGCATTTCCTTTGGGCCTCATGTCAGGACTCAAAAAGTTCTGAATTTTGGAGCATTTCAGATTTCAGAGTTTCAGTACCTTCAGTACTTTAAAAGTGTGTCTTTAAAGGTTTTCTTTTATGAAACTGCTATCATAATTGAAAATTCTTTTGCTTAAGTAGGTTGTATCAGAAGTATTAAATACTGGAGATCTGTAGAACTTTCTGTTGAGTGAATCAATTGAAGTACTGCATGCAAATAGTAAATATGCAAATCATAAAGGGGAGGAGCTTAGGCCAAACTGCTCAGAGGAAAGGAAAAACAGGTTTCCTTCCAAATGGGGAGAAGGCAACTGGAAAGATTTTTACCTGTTGCATAACTTTTGATTATCTCTTTCTGCTAGTCCAACCAACGGTTGACAGCTGTAAACTTGGAAAAGCAAATGCACTGATAAATCAAGCAATTCCAGCTCTTTGACTAGGAAAGTTTTAAAGTCAGAGTTAAAGATTAAGTCAATTAAACTTTTTTTTTAAACTTGAAGTTACCCTGAAAATTCAAGTTTCTAACATTCTAAAAGGGCTTTCTTTTAGGAGTAAAAAGATTCTGGATAAACTGAAAGGTTATTTCACCATGAGAAGAACATGATAAGTGGTGCTGGAAACATGTAAGAATGGCTTACAAAAGTACTGACCTCTGCCACTATGTTTGTACATCTTTCCTTCTGACTCTGTTATACCTTAAGTTTTTAAATGTATGGTCTTCAATGCTCATACTTCTTATGGAGATTACACGACCATGGAGATAATTATTTCTATCACTGGGAAAGAACAGTCTTCTTTCCTGTGGCTTACATCTTTAAAAGCCCAACTGCTCAGCTACCCACAAATGATCTTAACCAAGACATACTGATCCAACGGCAATTTCCCAAGAAGAGAAGAAAACAAACAAACACTCTAGCTTTGCAAAACCTGGTCTGCAGACCAAGGGCAAATGTCACAACTCGGCCCCCTCCCCTTTCAGAATGTATCCAGACTCCTCAGCCATTGCCTACACATAATGACTAACTTCCGCACCAAGGGAAATGGGCTGTTTTAGAAACTTGACATCTACAACCAAGGTGGTCTTGTCATTTTTATATCCAAGTAGAAAAGCAAGTTGCTTAGTCTGAACTCAAAATCTGCTCAAAGGATGCTTGCTGCACGTCATCAATTAGATTGTCGTGGGAGGGCAGATTTTTTATCCTGCAAAGCATAGCCTTCAGTAAAAGCCTTTTTCCCCCTTGCCAATGTGCCCAATGACACAGGTCAAGACCTCTCTCTGAAGACAAGAATGACAAAATCAATTTACAAAGTATGAGGAATTGAGGCAAAGATCCCACCTCAATTGGGAAACACCTGGCAGTTTCTCATTATGAAGTCATGTAGAAACCTTGTATTAAGTAAAAGAAGTAAGTCTGAGGTTGCAGTGAATCATGATTACGCCACTGCACTCAGCCTGGGTGACAGAGTGACAGACCCTGTCTCAAATAAGTAAATAACATAAAGTAGAAGAATATTCTTGGGCTATATCACTGCCACCGTTTTGTTCTATTTTAACCTTCACTAGTAACACTTGGCACAGAAAGATACCAGACTTGGAACCATCTTTATCGCAATTTTTTAAAACTAAAATTTGAAACACTAAATAACTATTACAAGGAGCTATACCAGATCTATGGCCCTTCATACCATGTTAATTTAGAACAAAATCATTTGCAAAACACAGACCAACACTTAAATGTAGATAATGAAGGATGACAGTGTTTAGATACACAGAAAATGTCTAGGGATTACAGGTAATTAAGGCTTAAAAAAAAACTCAAAAAACCACAGAGGACATCTGAAAGCTTGCTCAACAGAGATTTCCGTTTTATTCTGGGTTTTACTGAAAAAGAAAGTACCTCCCACAGTAGTCTGTATTATTTCTACCACTATTCGTCTTCCTTCTGAAGACCCCACTATGCTGAATTATGAGCAATATGACAAAGTGAAATGAGATTTTAAATACTGCCTGCCTCAATCTTTAATGTCATTTTAGGGCACATGTCACGCTGTCCCTTTAAAGCAGTCTCCAAGAGTAATGTACAGGTCAGCTCTTGAGATGGGACAAAGCTTTGAATTCATGCACTGGCTTGGGTTCAAGAAGCAATTAGGCTTTTTCTCCCACCCCAACAGAACAAGTCAGACCCTAACTTCTAACATGGAAAGTCCCAACACCAAACAATGAGGAACCAAGGAACAATCCAGGTTGCAGGGAAACTGCTGGCGAAAGAGGCAACATTAATCAGTTTTTCATTGGAAATAAAAAAAGCTACCACTACTAATGTCTATGATATTTTAAATTCTACATAGGCTATTTCTGGGTATTTTTGCCATGAATGCAAAAAAGGAAATCTGTCAATTTGCTAGAGTTAGTCAAGGATTTTTTTTGCCTGAGACTTCTGAAGGCAAGTCTTTAAATCCTGAAATTTGGACCTGCCCAACTTTGGCCATCACCACAAAGACTCTAAGGTGCAGCATTGCACTAGAGTTATTGAGTCTTGGAACCTACAAACTGCAGCCATTCATATACCGTCTTTACCATCCCAACTACTGTTTACTTAATATTTTTCTTAAAAGCTTTTTTAAGAACTGTATCTACTGTTAAATAAAAATGATAGAGGCTATGGTTCTGGACTAAGCTCTTGCACTAGGCTCCAAGAGACCAGACTAAAAATCAAAATGGAGTCACTCATGCCCAAACTAAGTTTGTTATCTGACCTTCCAAGAAACCAAGAGAAAGAGATAATATCCAACTTCCCAAAGTGCAAGTTTAAATCTTCAATTGGCATGACAATAAAGTTCCCTAGCTTTTCCTTACACACAAACACAAAAGTCAGAAGTAATCTGATGTTAACTAATCAGTTATTTCTCTATTGTTCTGTCTCCCTGTCCTGCCTTACAAGAAAAGTAGCTTTGAAAGGACTGATACACTCTTTGTTCTTTGCTTGTGCTTTCTTCAGCCCTTCCATCTACAAAGCCAACTCCTGCTTAGCTCATCTAAATACTTACTCTATATTATGGAATGAAACATTGCCCAATTCTAGAATTGCAATACAGCCAATTGAGATGTGGAAACTAAACTGGTTGCAATTTTGTCTTTTGACATGACTTTAGTATCATCCTAAGCACTATTGTCCATGAATTCATGTGTGTGATGCGATAGTTATGTTTTCATTCATACACATTAAAAAAACAGAACTAGTAAATGAAAAGTATTCATCATGTAACACCAAAAATCATCTCATGCACCATCAGCAGTACATAAAACACATGAGTGTTCATTTCAGCAGCACATCAATTACAAGTGTAACCAAAACCACACTTTGAGAAACAGTGATTTAGTATTAAATCCTTTATGTCATAGTTAAAGAAACAGATTGAGAGGGGATGTGATCTGCCCAGGGAAAAACAGCAATGGTGGCAGGGTCTTGACTAGAACCAAGAACTTAGTCCAGTGGCAGTCCCACTATGGTAAATTCTCTTGGTAGTTGAGCTACAGGAAGAATTAGAGATCTGGCCTCAGAGGAATTCACCAACAAGTAAACTCTAAGCAGTCAGGAAGCCTTTTTGCATGTGGATTTGG